AAACAAATAGTAACAGACATGAAAAATCAAATGAGTACTAATACAGTTGCAATGGGGAACCTCCATACCCCACTGTCGCAAATAGTTAGATCAACTAGGTAGTAAAATCAACAGTGACATATTAGAATTGAACCAAACCTTTGAACAAATAGACTTAGTAGATGTCTAAGAGTGTTCCACCCCACAATATAAGAATACACATTCTTCTCAGTTGCACATGGAACTTTCTCCAAAATAGAACATATACTAGTTTATAGAACATGCCTAAGTAAATGCAAAGGAATTGAAATAATCCTATGCATGTTATCAGACCATATTGCAATGAAGTTGTAAATAAACAGCAAAAGGAACCACAAGAACTTCATAAACACATGAAAATTAAATAACACCCTCCTGAACAATTAATGCATTACAGTTGAACGTAAAGAAGAAATCAGAAAATTTCTACAATTAAACAATAATGACAATACAACATACCAGGACTTATAGGATGCAACAAAAGCAGTCCCATGAGGGAAATTTATATCAGTGAATTCCAATATCAGGAAAACAGAGTGGGCCAAATAAACAGCCTAATGTTGAACCTCAAGCTTCTAGAATAAGAGCAAGTCAAGTCCAAAGCTTGTAGAAGGGAGGAAGAAGATTTTTAGTTTAATGTGATCCCTTTTTATTGATTATTTGTACTAATTGCTATGCTTTTGAAATTTTATTCAGGAAGCCATTGCCTGTGCCTATGACCTTTTCCTGCATTATCTTCTAGAAATTTCAGTTTCTGATTTTTTAATCCATTCTTATTTGCTTTTAGTGTAGAATCTAGCTTCAGTCTTTTATATGTAGATATCCACTTTTCCCAGCACTATTTGTTAAAGAGGATGTCTTTTCTTCAATGTATTCTTTTGGCCCCCTTGTCAAAAATTCAGGTGGTAAGTTCTGTGTGAGTTTGCTTCTGTATCATTTGTTCTAGTACTTTGGTCTAAATGTCTGTTTTTATGCCAGTCTCATGTTTTTTGCTGTGGTTTTGGTAGTGCAGCTTGATATTTGGTATTGTGATGCCTCTGGCATTGCTCTTTTTGCTCAGTATTTTCTTAGTTTTCTGATTCTAGGTAAATTTGAGATTCTTTTATTTTTTTTAGTTCTGTGATGTATGATGTTGATATTTTAGTAAAGATTGTGTTGAATGTGCATATAAGTTTTGGTAATCTGGGCATTTTTACAATTCTGATCCTGAACAACGGAGGTTTCTCCATTTTCTAATGTCTTCTTCAGTTGCCAAGAAAGAGTGGCAGGTTTTCTTCGTAGTCTAACTTCCCATATTTCTGTTTTTTCTTTATTATCATGTTTAGGTTATATCCTGCAGGAGATTTTGCTAGCACCCTGTCCAGCCACATACCTACTAACCTGAGGGAGTTTCTCTAAGTGACCTGTCAGTGGGCTCCTCTAAACTGTCAAGATGCAATTCCAATTTAATTTTTTATAGTTGAATAGTATTCCTATGTGTATATGTACAAGATTTTCTTTATCCATCTGTTGATGGAGACCTTTGTTGTTTCCAATTCTTGGCTATTGTGAATAGTGCTGCAATAAACATGAGAGTGCAGATGTTTCTTTGGTATACTGAGTCATTGCCTCTGGACATATACCCAGGAGTGGGATTGCTGAATCATACTTTTGCTAGAAATTTTAATCTCCTGAATTTCTATTGTCTTTTTCTGTATTCTAATTCTTTTCTATGTTGGTTATGTGTGTTTTACATTATTTTGTTTAGCTCTTCTATCTTTTTATTAGTGTGTTCTCTAGAGTCAGTGGTCTTTTTGTTTATTTAACCCAATATCTTATTACTTATAAATTTTTGAGCTTGCCACATGTCTTAGTGATCTGTTTTGTTATCTATCAAATATAATTTTGAGTAATTCTATAGGGTAGCTTTTCAAACAATCAGCTTGTCCATCTATAGCATCTAAATAAAGTTAGACTTGGCTACAGATGTTTTCTAAATAACTGGTTATCTACTTTTCTAAGCAATGCAATTAGATCATTATAAAAGGGGAGAAAGGATCCCATTAAAAATTGAAATTACCTTCCCCCTTAAAAATAAAGTAAAGTAAAAAGCACTCATACCCCTGCAGGTAACCCATTCCACTTCTTTCATTTACATTCATTGCTTTATACTTAAACAATGATGTTATCTTGCCAAATACCTTAGTGATCTGTTTTGTTACCTTCTCAGTATTATTTTGAATAATTCTAGTGAGTGGTATCCCAACAAAGATAATCAATCATAAGTGTATATCACCTTATCTATAGTTATAAAATCAGCATTGATTACAACATCAAATATAAACTGAATATTGACAACCCCTAAGGTCCAGTAAAGTATCAACCTTAACGATAGAAAAGAGATCTATAATTAAACTAGTAAAAGTAGAGTGAATGGGGATCTGGTGAATGTAAAAACAAAAAATTTTAAATGAATCAATATTTTTGATTTTTTTTTTTTTTTTTTTTTTTTTTTTTTTTTTTTTTTTTTTTTTTTTTTTTTTTTTGTGGTACCGGGGATCAAACTTGGGTCCTTGTGCTTGTGAGGCAGGCCACCAAACTGCTGAGCTAAATCCCTGGCCCATGAATCAATATTATATAAGAAGTAAGAGAGAAAAGTGATATGAGGCCTCTATTGAGGAGTAAAAAGAAATTAAAAGTGATAGAGAATAGTTTCATGAAGAATGAGCCAGACAAAGAAGAAAAAAGATAAACACAAAAGAAAAACAAGAACTAAAAGTAAGAAGGAAAAAGCAGTTGAAAGAGGAAAAGGTAGGAGATAAGAGAAACTAAAACAAGGAGGAAAAGGAGAAAAAAACTCAAATCCACCCAAATCTCAATGACGCAAAGACAAAAGTAATACAAAATTAAAAAATTTAAAAAGATTGGATCAAAGAAAAAATTCTTGTGTTATGGAATGAGTGGTTTCTTTCCAAGATCTGCAGTCTTGGGATCCAGCCAGTCAAAATTTTCTATGCCTAGTTTTAAGGTCCTAGTTTCTGTTTTGTAACTTTTTAAAAACCATTTTTAATTTTACTGGTACAATTTAAATCTTCATAACAATCACATGCATTCGTAGGGAATTTGTATCGTTATCTGATGTATCTTGATTCATATTTTTGAGGTGCCTTCCCTGCACGAGAGGCCTTTTGTCCATTTCCTCCCAGACTGTTGTTACCATCTATGTCACAGCGTGTTTTTGTTCATGTTTATAGGTGGGAAATGCAATCACTACTCTGGTCTCTGCTGGATGTAGGTCACAGGTCATATATCTGAGTTGTTGGACTTAAAGTCCACAGTTGAAGGATCTGGTTGGTCTTTTCTCTCCTTGGCATTGTCCTCCAGGATTAGGTCAGTTGGTTAGTTCTCAACTCTGTTCCTTGTGCCATGGGAAGCACAATTAGGGCTGGCTTGGAGTTGGTGTCATAAGGGCCATACTCATATCAGGAGTTGCTGTGCAATGAGTGCAGATTTGCTTGCTTCTGTGCTACTTCTCTTGCATGGGGTCTCTTATTTTTGTGACTTTCTAAGATGAAGAGTGAAAGGTTACAGATTTTTCACTTTTCTCCAAGGACATTGGCCTCATCCACTGTTAGGTCAGTCATTTGTTAGGCTCCTCTGCAGCTCTGGAGCTGGCCAGGAGTTGGTAAATACTGTATTCACAGCCAGGGCATGGAATATACCATGCAGTTGCTAGTGCTTCCTGTCATGTAGCTATGAGTGCTTTTAAGCATTAAAAAAAATTATCTGGGCTCACCAGAATGTATCTAAGTGTGATTGTCTTTTTTCCCATAAAGGTAATTCACTGTTAATGGATTGTACATTTTATCATTCTAAAATATGCTCAGCTATTGTGACTTCAAGAATTGTATCTGCTATGTTTTGTAACTCCTCTTTTTGGATGTACAGTTACATTTGTGGTAGACGTACTCTTGTCATTATTTCTTCACCTTCTCTACTGTTTCTAAGTATATTGGCTTTTTAAGGAGACTAGAACAAATTACCACTAAATTTGTGGCTTCAGACAACATAAATCAATTATTTAAAAGTTCCAGAGGCCACAAGACCAAGATCAAGGTATCTTGAGGGTTCATTCCTTCAGAATGCTCTGATGTAGAGTCCATTTCATGTCATTCTGGTTTCTGGTTGTTGTAAGGCATCCTTGGTGCTCCTTGTAGTCATATCACTATAGTCTCCTTTCCCTTTAGGTCTTCTTTCCTGTATCTGTTTTGTAAATTTCTCTCCCCTTTCTCTTATAAGGGCACCAAACAGTTGATTTAGGACTCAACTTTAATGTAGGATGATCTTATTCAATATCCTGAACTTAATACTATCCATAAGAACCTATTTCCAAATTAAGTCACATTTATGAATACAGGTGCCAGGTTTACATCTGTACATATCCTTTTGGAGGCACAATTCAATGTGCTGCAAGTTTGATTCATTTTCTTATGTAAACTTTCCTGCTTATTAATCTTTTAGTTGCTTCATATTTGCTGTTGAATATATTTGCATCAGTTTTTAAGATTTCATTTTTCATTTTAAAATGCTCAGTCTTTATATTTCTCTGGATGTTATAAAGAATTTTTTAATTTAATTTTAGAAAAACAGCTGGGCATGGTGGCACCTGTAATTCCAGCACTTGGGAAGCTGAGGCAGGAGGATTGCTGTGAGTTCGAGACCAGCCTGAGCTACATAGTGAGCTCCAGGTCAGTCTCAACTACATAGTGAGACCCTGTCTCAAAAAACCAAAAAAAAAAAAAAAGAAAGAAAAACATGGCTAATTTGTATTTTGGGTCAGGTATCCTTTGTATCTGAAGTTTTGTGGGTCTATTTCTATTGTTTGTTTTTACTTTTGATTCATAATACTTTGGGTTTTTTTGTTTTTTAAGCCATTTATTGAGGTATGTACACAGGAAAAGTTGCATATATTTGATGTATAAAACCTAATGAGTTTGGTGGTACCTGTATATATGTGAAACCATAACTACTATATATTATATTATATTATATACATATATATTAAACAAATCCATTGCCTCCAAATTTTCCCCCATGGCTTATTTATTAGTCCATTTATATGTGATAAAGAAACTTAACAGATCTACCATATTACCAAATTTTAAAGTAATGAAATACAGAACTGTTAGTTATTGTCACTTTTCTGTACAAAAGATCTCCAGGACTTACTTTGCAGCATTAAAACTGTGCACTTTGAAAAAAACAAAATAAAATAATTGTGCACATTGATTAAAATTTACTCATTTTTCCTTTCTGCTAATCCCTGGAAATCACTTAGAATCAAGATTAAAAAAAGAACCACTTCCCTCTTCTAATCAATTTGATGATTATTATAATTATTTTTGGAAAGGCATAATCCTAAGGATCAAACTTTTCTCCTTTTCTTTTTCTTCTGATTTCTCTCACTTACTCTTAATGAAACAACTCCTTTCCCACTTTGAAAACACTCCTTTCTGTCTTGCTACTGTTTCAGTCTGGCTCAGTTTTTATTTATACTTAATGTGTAGCTTTACTCTCTCTTTATAAATTGATCAGGTTGAGAGTTACTAAAGATGAGTAAATGAAGCAATTAAAAGTTGATAAGATCTTTAAGAGAATATTTATAACTGTGATAAGAGCAGTGAACTTTCTATGACTGTTACATAGGTACATACAAGAGAGATTTTGTTTAAATTTAAATGGAAAAATGTAAAGTTCTTAGTATGATATCTCATAAATATTAAATGATACCTTAATATATAAATAAAATATGGTGCTGCAATCAATATCAAACTTTATGAGATTAGAGAAATCTTTCTTATAGAAAGGGTGAGGATTGTCCAGACAATGGGAGTAACAAGTGGGAAAGGTTAATCAACATAGATAAAGCCTACTACAACTAAATAAAAAAATCAACAAAGCAAAGGCATAGCATGCAAGAATAAGAATGGAAAGAGGTGAGGCTGGTGAGCTAAGAATGGGACATCATTTAGAACCGTAATTGAAGGGTATCAAGTATGAAAATATAATTATATTTAAATTTTAGAAATATGTTTTTGGCTATATGGAGAACAGCATAGATGGTGTCAATGATAAATACTTAGAAAATAGACTGATAGTGGAGGACTGTTGAAGGGATATGGGTAAGAAATAAGATGAAGAGAATGGATGATTTTGATAATATTTAGTAGGTGAATAGTTAGAACCTCATGCCTGACTAGTTGTTGGGAGTGAAGGACAGAGAAGATTTAACAACAAAGCTCAGGTTATGGTTAAGAAGACTTAGTGAGAAGCTTTATCATTCAGTGGTATGGAGAACAAAAAAGAGCATGTTTGGAAGACACAGTGCTAAGTTTTATTTTGTATATATGAGATGTTTGATACCTGTACAACTCAAAAAAATGTTTCCTGTATACCTTCTGTGCCTAGGAAAATGTAAAAGATGTTGGATTCCCTATAAGCTACTATTGAAATGACCAGTTTTCCTTAAAGGGAAGTAAAGAATCCTGTGCAAAACTTCAAGAACAGACATCAATTCTTCTCTATTCCTTTTTTGAGTTCTCTGTCTTGGTCTGTATATTAGATATGTTCTAAATTTCTGCTTTACAAATATAGTGGTCTACAGATAATTTAACTTATTTTCTTGATCCAACAAACATGGCATGGTTCTTAACCTAATGAGTTTGGTGGTACCTATATACATGTGAAACTCTTAGATTAACACTAATAATCTCCACCCCTATGGCATTCACACCCTTGAGTATAGACTGAATTTTTTGACTCACTTCAAGGAATTTGGTACAGCAGAACTAATATGATGATGAGTTAAGTTTAAAAAGGTTTCTGTGTTTGGTTCTATATCTTACTCTCTCTTAGATGTCTCACTATGGAGCAACACCAGGGATGACATGTTATGTCATAAGACAGCCCTCTGGAAATGCATGTGTGGCAAAGATTTGAAACCTGCCAGCAACCATGTGAGATATTGATAATGTATAACCTGCCAGGTGAGGATTGAGATGATTGCAGCCATGACTGACCACTCAACTGCAGTTATATAAGATATCACAAATGACTGGATCCAGTACTACCTTGAGTGTATCTCTTGAACGACATTGTAGAGTAGGCTGAGCATGAGTTAGAAGCTGGAGACTGATTTAACGACAGGAATATTCAAATATTCAAATCCCTAACCCATTCCTTGATCTTGAGCCACTAGTGCCACAGGTTTTCTTAGCCTCTTGTGTCTAAAAGTATTTTCAGGTATGTTTCACCACTTTGAGGGACATGGCTGCTGCCATCACTAGGTAAATGGTGGTCTCACTGTCTGAGAAAGGAAGTGCCTTGCCAACACCCTCTTCTCTGGGAGTATAAGACAGGGACCCAAACAGGGAAGAGATGAGGACAAAAGATGTCAGTCCAGCAGGAGATCATCTGGGGCTTCATGCTATGAGTGGTTTCAGATTTCCAGAGAAGAAACGTCTCTCCAACAGAGAGCAATTATGGGTCACAGCCCTATGGCCTGGCTGGTTTTATCAATCTGACAGTTCAGGGTCAATGCAAAGGACATTCCCAGCACCTAAAAAAAGAAGAGGAAGTGTGAGGCTTTCATAAAAGAAGCCATTTCTCCCACAACTTTTAAGAATTGACTTCATAGAAAAAGAAAGCATCTAACACATGGGGAGATAATCCTTCTTACCATCACTTTCAATTCCCTCTCAGGAGCTCTCTCTTTATTTTATTTTATTTATTTATTTATTGGTACCGGGGATCGAACTCAGGACCTTTTGCTTGTGAGGCAGGCGGCGGAACCACTGAACTAAATCCCCAGCCCTCTCTCTTTTATCTTAAGGATAGGAGTGTGTAATGATGTGGGGAAGAGGATGGTAACATAATGAAGTATAAAATGTTGTGATACTTTTTTTTTCTTAAAAAGTCGTGGAAGCCCTGCTGCTGATAGAGGCAAGTTTTGCTTCCTGAACACTGTGCTGTGAGTTGTCTTTCTCATGCCCTAGCCTCTTTGGTTTCCAAGTAGAAAAACATCATTTTTCTCTCAGCTTCTTGATTAAGACTTAGATAATCTATGATATACCCAGTACTTGGGTGGAAAGTATTAGAAATACAACACAACAACAAAAAAGAACACAAACTACTCTCAATTTACCCTTTGTCAAACTCAGCACAAAAATGAGGAAATGACTACGGCTTCCATAATCAATTCTTTCTTAGCATACAAGGCCAAATTTTTCATGCATACTGTTTCATCAGTCACATTCTTTTCCAGATGAGGTCAGCTTGAGGGGTCAGAGGGGGGTTTTGCCTGGGTAGCTTTTGACTGTGAATCACTATCATTGAGGGTGAAGTTGGCTAAATAGATGTTCTTATAATTTATTTTCTGTATGCCTTAGGTCAAACTGGTAATAACACCATTTGCCAATTGACTGAAAAATTCATATACTGATAAACAGATATTTATTATATACATATTATGTACCTAGTACTGTTCTAAAACTTTCCATGACTTAACTCATTTCATTCTCACTGTAGTCCTAGGATTAAGCTCTTACCTGGATCACACATATACAGATGGTAATGATTCCAATATACAGGAAATTGGAGTGAAACCACTCTTGTGTTTGTATATAGCAACCCTGGGAAAAAATTAAAGGCACAAATGATACTACTGTATAATTCAACTATCTGAGGATAATTATCTGAAAAGGTAATTTGTATTTTTTGTCTTATATAATACAAAGAGATTGAAGTCATATATTATATTTTTATTCTCATTGGATGGATAAAGAAACAAAGAATGTTAAATGGAAGAAATTTCTGGTGGTATTGTCAGTATGATAGCGCTTAATGCAGAAGTTCTAGATCCTTACTCACAGAGTTAAACTAGCTCCTAAGTGGTAGGGCAACAATAGATGTCGTCATGTTCTTTGCACATCAGTGCTCATCTAATATTTAAAAACATAACATAGACTGTGCAATCCTAGGATTGATTTGCATTTCAATAACCAGTAAGTCTATCATAGCCCTACTAACTGCCAGAGACACTGCTGGTTGGTGTGTGCCCCTGTTTTCCTCCAAAAACCCAAAAAATTCTGGAGATTCCCAGACCACCTGAGGAGTGGGTAATGTGGTGAGGGTAAGATCTTAGAGATTTGGTCTGACTGGGAGATGACTTTTCTGGTTGGAGGATGGGAGGGTTGTTTCAGCAGTTCAAATGACTGTCTCCCAGTCCCTCACCCCTTCACTCAGGGTACATTTCACTAAGGGGCTAAATCACTAAGGGGCTTTGAAGTTGCTATCTCCAAAGAAGGAGTAGAGAAGTAAGTGGCAGAACAAAATTTCTAACTCAACCCTATACATTTTACTCTGAGCCATGAGAACTATTTCTCTTTCAAGAAATAACTAAACACAACCACTGCCCCCTTTTCACAAACTCTACCTGCTTATTACCATAGTTTTCTGTATTAAGATTCAGAGTGTCTCTACCTAAATAAGCTTTTTCCTAGATTTTCTTCTTGTTACCTGGAGTTGATGCTCTGCTCTCTCACTGAAAGTTCCCTAAGTTTATATAGGAGGTCTAGGAATTGTATTAACTGTAGTTTCCGAGATAGTTAAAATTTTAAATAAAGAAATGAATATCAAGAACTTTGCAAAAACATTACCTTAACTCCTTCTTCTGAGGGGCAAGATGCTGGTAGGCCCCTGGTCCAGTCTTTTGTGCTATTTACACCACAACAATGCAGCTAAAAGGCAAACTCCCAAAGACACAATGGTTAGATTGAAAAATGAGAAACAGAAAGAAATCTAGACCTTAAAAGAAAGGGTAGCTATTCAGATCTGACTCTATAGCACAAAGTCCAGACTTCATCTACTATCATAGATTCTTTAGAACAAAGTCCTTTCAAACCTATGGTACCATTTTATTCACATTACATCTCTGTGAAGTAGAGAGGCCAGGTTTAATTTATTCACATTTTATGATCACAAATTATATCCAGGGAACATTACAATAGGGGGTCAAGCTGACCACATCTAGATTCACCAAGTAGTTTTAAGACCATAGAAAACACTATGTGCCTGCTTGTGTGATTCAAGAGGAAGTACCAGGTACAGTAGTCTTCCAATAAAACAGAACCTCATCTATTCACAAGGCTTGTGGGAAACAGAGAATCACCGAAATACCTCAAGAAAGCAACTGGCCAGATGTAGAAAGTGGATAAATTTATAGGACCAATCACATAATTTCTTTTCAAAAAAATGTAGCATAAACAAAGAAAAATACTATCTCAGATTAAAAGAAAACTAGAGAAAAAATATTCAACTGCGATGTAAGGATCTTGTTTAGATTTTGATTTGAACAAAATTTAAATAATTTGGAGAAAATTAGGATAATTTGTTTAAGGACTGTGTATTGGTGATATTTAATGGATAAAACAACTTCATGTTGAATATTTGCTTTAAAATATTTTAGCAAAAACTGTGGAGGGGATTAGATGAGATAATACTGGCAAGGAAAAAGGTTGACTGTTCAAGCTGGTGATATAGACCCAGAGATTCAATTTATTAACATTGTCTTTACTTTTGCATATATTTAAGAATTATAAATGAAAAGACTTCTAAACTGAAGTTTTAAAAAAGAATTGGGAACAAGAAAAAAAAAAAAAAGGCTGGGCGTGGTGGCTCACACCCCTAATTCCAGCCCTCGGGAGGCAGGAGGATCACTGTGAGTTTGAGACCAGCCTGGGCTACATAGTGAGTTCCAGATCAGCCTCAACTACATAGTGAGACCCTGTCTCAAAAAACCAAAAAACAAACAAACAAACAAACAAATAAATAAATAAATAAATAAATAAATAAATAAAATTAAAATTAAAGTAAATAAAATGAATTGGGGATTTAGAGACGTTAAGTGACTTTCCCAAAGCCATTTACTTTAAGACTCGATGCTCTAATTCCCATGTTATTTCTTCTACTCCATACTAAGCCAGCCTGTGCTCCTAGTGCTATTGTTTGAAATGTAGATTACACTTGCATAAACTCCCTAGCCCTCTCTTATCTCCCAACACACCAAGTTAATATATATTTTTGAGTGGATGTGAGGAATGCAGTACTGGGGAGCTAGGAAACAAGCTTAACTTTGGTGATGGGAATTCCACAGAGCTATCTTGTATTATACAATTGCTGGTTTTGTTTAACTTTTGGAAAACAGGTTAACTCAGTATGATATATTAGGTTTCCTTTACATTTTCCTAGGGCTTAAACAATGAGCTTATCTGAGTTGGAAACAAGAGAATGAAGAGAACTTTACATCAATCTGACTAGTGTCTTTTCTGTTTTTGTCACCAAGGAAATATTCTGGACCTAAGGGCCATAGACAGTAGGCTAAAACTTCCAGGAAGAGAGTACTAGTTCCCAGGGACTAAGGCTGGAAAGTGGAGTTCAGACCAATCTGAGGAGAATTCCATCTGTACTCACAAATGACTGGATGGAGTCCCATGCTGCCTTGGTGCTGTTGTCTGAGTAGTAACGTTCAATGCTCTCAGTCAGTCCCTCCGCCACATAGCTATTCAGCTGGGCAGGGCACATTCCAGAAAAGAAGGTGTTGTAAAAATCACGTGAGTTCAAGGAATACATAGGCTGATGAGACCAACTATACCTCCTTTCCAAATGTTTTTCTAAGAACTACGGAAGTGAGAGGAGAGTGTTCTATGTATAAGGGAAGAAGTGGTGAAGGTGAGAAGGCGTTCAAGGAGAAAGTATATAATAGACTCGTCCTTCCAGGACTATGGTCTTACAAAGAAGGAAAAGGGATGATCAGGGCAAAGACTATCTTTGAGCAGAGTCATTCCTCATGACCAAATACACAAAGGAAAGTAATTAGAAGACAAACTTGTTTTACTATTCTTTCTAGTCATCCTTTAAGACACACTCAAATACAGTCTCTTTTATGGCGTTTTATGGCATTCTTTCCTTAATTATAATTAATCTCTCTCCACTATCCTTCCACTTGATTCTTATCTCTATTAAAGGATTTATTCTGTCACTACACACTCTCCAAGGTCAGCAATAAAACAATGAGTTGTGTTCTTTATAACTTACCTTCTGCTCATGCACAAAAAGCAGAATGGCCAAGGTCACCTCAGTAAGGAGAATAATCAGCAGCAGGACAAAGAACTGGAAAGAGAAGAGATACCATGAAACTAACCTCAGTGCCTGACCACCTCATTTGCCTGGAGAACATCCAGGCAGATCTCTGCACACAAGGTGTTCCTATTTCCACCTTCCTGGAGCTTTGTATGCCTTCTCTTGTTTTGTGAGGAAATATGTGTTCTTTTCCTTAAAGGGAATATCAGTGGTCTTGAAACTTTGTTCTCCACTGTCCATTATGCCTATCAGAACTGCAGGCACATAACGCATATTTCAATGTTATCCACTGAATAAATGAAGCATTTTTTGTATCAACATATTGAAACATTTGAGTGAAAGACAGCAAACTAAACTATGTGTCTTTACAGTTTGGTGATTAACCCTTTCTATTAGATCCAGGCTACTTCAGGGAGGAGGATGGATGGTGAAAGTTGAGAGGTGCCCCATGCAGACTGGGGAAAAAGAAGGCCCTGATAAGGTTTAGATCAGGAACGTCTCCTAAAACGCGCATGCACTAAAAGGCAGCACTTTTGGGAGACGATTGGATCATGGCTGTATGTGACTTACTGTTAGGAAGTGAGGCCTAGCTGGAGGTAGGACATGGGCAGCCATGACCTGGAAAGGTGCATCTCCCTCTCCAGAACATCCCTCCCCTCGCTGCTTCCTGACCCCTCACATGAGCATATTTCTTCCACAGCAGGTCTTTCCACCATTGTGTTTCTGAGTTTCAGTCTGCCAATGATAGACTGAAACCCCCTAAAACTGTGAGCCAGATAAACCTCTCTTTCTTTAAGTTCTGGGTATTGAGTATTTTGTCCAAGTAATGAAAAAGTGACTAAGATAGGCCCTAATCATAGTCATAGTCCCAAGTCGGTTTTGTCTCTGACTTTAGATGCTTATTCCCTTTATGCCCTTTACACAGAAACAACTTTTTTCATTTATTTCTTCATTCTCCTTTTTTTACTGTAATACCAATTTTGATCATTAAACTCTACTCCATGTCTGCTATCACCTATCTTTTGCCATCAGTTCTAAAAATATCTGACAATAGGATCTGTTTTTCTTTATTATTATTCTTTCATTTGTCTTTAGTTTAATTATTGATCTGCAAGGGAAAGAAGATTAATCAAATAACTTAAGAAAAACCAAGGTGGTTCGGAACCCATAACTATAGATAGGCACAGTCCCTACCAAGCTCTGGCCTGAGAATATTAGAGATATTTGGCACTCTTCTTTTACAATGCTTGCGGCAAAACCTAAATCTGAAGGTGCTCTTCCAGATGGTTATATGACAGGGAATAACTGAGAAGCTCTAGCATCTCTCATACTTGACCTCAATAGCTGCAGCTGTAGTCATCTCCTGAGTTGGGTCACTGTTACTATAGAATGTCTTGGGCAGAAATGAGTTAAAGAAGCATCCTCTGTTGTTTGAGGAGGGCCCCCATTCTTAGAAAAGTGTAGAGATTATTTTTTAATCACTTAGTGACTCCAAGTTAGATCCAAAAGTATGTTCCAAAATAAGAGTTTAAGCAGATGGATGATACTTAACTTCAACTAGACATGGAGAAAAAACTAAATGCTGTGAAGGGAATTACAATAATGAGTTATTATTAACAGTGGAAAATAAATACCAAGGAAGACAGTAATACCCTCGCTCACCTATTTCTGGGATCCCAATCAGAAACAAAATACTATTGGTCAGGATAGATTGGGTCAATCTGAGGTGCCAAACCCACACTTTCCCTGTGCCTATAGGTGATCTACCAAGAAACATGTTGCTTGGGACTTGAGGAATCATCTCCCTCTCATCTGATTTAGAACACCACATGCTGTAAGAACTTACCGACATAAGCAGGCACTTGTTCTCCTTGATAGATCCCATGCAGCCCAGGAAGGCAACTACCATGATAATGGAGCCCACGATGACAAGAACATTGCCCAGTGTGAGAAAAGGGAGTTTATGGAAGAGTACTCCAAAGCTGTTGTGGATCAGGAGGTAGATCCCAAAGCCCAAAATGCAGCAGCCACAGAACTAAAAGGAAGAATCCAATAACATGTTCAGAAAAAGTGTGGTTTTTGAGTATCTCCTCATTCACATTCTCTCTTGAGATCAGAATCACTTCCTTTTATAGATTTAGTCAAGACTCTCATTAACACATCTCTTCCTAGTTTACCCACAGTGCTAGAAAAGCAGCAATCCCTGCAGTTTCCATATAGAGTCCCACTCAGATCTCATCCTACCCATTTGCAGATACCAAGGAAAAGTAACCCGTATTAGCCACACAATACTTACACCATACATAAGCTGTCTCTATGCTTCAGATAACCTACTCCTTGTCCCTCCAGTACTCACACATGTAATTTGTTTCCCTTTGGAAACTAGAGGAGATGGCATGCTTAAGGAAGCTCATCTAGCTGCGCAAAAAACTAGAAAAGTCAAATTTATAGGAATCTTCTTTATAGACACATGAGCCCCAATCCATCCTATTTATAAATTTCAATTGCTCAGTTTGATACAGTGAAACCTTCCCGAAATGGTGACTTCACTTTCCATGAGCTATTCTTTCAAGAGTCCAGGGGAACAAATATACTAAATACCTAACTATTCCTCTGTTTCTCATATATGGCTGTCACTTGTGAGAAGCAGTCTAAAGCCCCAAGACAGAAATATCTCCATTAATGAAAGCACTGATATCTTTCAGTTTTGTAAGTTTACATTATGGTAGGATGGGAAGAGGGAGGAAATTATTACTCTTTTCTTCTTAGAGTTGGTGTGCAGGACATAACTGAATTATGCACAAGTTATGTTTCATGCCAGACTCTAGAGAGAGAGAGAAGGTGAGCTTACTAGGGAGAAGGTTAGCTCAACCATGCTCAAAAGAAACACACTTACCCAAAAGAGCAAGTTGAAGAAAAATAATACATACTTCAGCAATTTCAAGCTACTCATGCCCATGCTGTAATACCCTTGCCCTAAAAAGTAAAAAGAAGACAGTAAGTAAGTGACCTGGCTCTGCAAGATGGTATCAGAGATTCGAAGCACACATTGTTAGGGTTAAGGATCACCAGCATTGCCATGGGTTTGAGTTACGGCTCACCTCTAATGTTTCCCCAAATTCCCCGCTCTCTTAGTTTCTGAGTTGAGTTACCCATTGGCTCATGTTGAACATTCATACTAACTCTCACTTCAGCAAGCAATACTTAATACTGAATTAAGCACTACATTGATTTGATTAGCCAGTTTCTTTTTTTAAAAAAAATAGGTATTCTACATAGCCAGTTTCTTAAATGCCCCAAGATTCACATACATATTAAATTGGGTCTGTAAACCTCTACTCTTGAAAGTGAGGAGGAACATGCCTATGCTTCATTATTTCTGTTATTGCAGAAACATTTATGGTGTTTTCTGTTCTGCATGTGTGGAAGATGGGGCTATGACTAAATAGTTACTATCCTCCAGAAGATGTCAGTCTTACAGGAGAACTAAAACAGGCCAACAACGACGCAATGAGGAAGTGAAATCAGCATTGATTTTTTAAAAAATAGAATATCACTTTTTCCTTAAGGGGGCATTAGTTCTTAAGCTCTGTTCCTCAATTTTAGAGATACAGATAGAAACTTTTAAAATTTTCTCTCAGAAGCAATAAGATCCTATAGAGTGACTCATTTTAAAACAGCATAAAATTGTCATATAAATCAGAATGTCAGTTTATTATTTTTTTCCTTTTCCAGTGCAAGGGCTGCCTGGGCAATCAATAGTACTTTATAGTGTCAAGGTACTCAAGGATCACATGGCCTTGAGAATTAGTTTGTCCAGGATACATGATCCTTGTAAAGTAAATGTCACTGTTGGAAACACTCACTATTTACATAGTATATATCTCATAACCTGTTCTTTTTTCCCATTGTTTCTTCTTGCTTTGGTCCTCAGGATTATTCTTAAATTTATATTATTACTTTAATCAAGTTTAAATAAATTAATATAATTGTAATTGCCTTTGTATTTATTCGGAAGGTTTAAAAAAGATGATAATTTACCACACAGATATTTGATGTCAAACTTGAATTCACCTCTCACATATGACATCAAATAGCATTGGAAATTTTGAAGCCAAGATAACATTTCCAGTCACAGTTATTTCTTATTTACAATGGTGAAATATTTACATCTCATGGGGTAGATGTGAAGATTAAACTATTTTAACACATAGCATATGGCATGACTAATACTGTATAAGTGGAATTCATGTTTATTTAATCTCAAAGGACCACTCTGTTTATCAGGAATGGGAATGGACGATGGATTTATGTTTCCCAGGCCTTTATCAGTTTTATGCTGACCAAATATCTCAATTAAATATCTAAATATTAATATTAAATATATAATACCTCAGACTAAAACATGTTCATGAGTAACTAATCTTATCCATCTTATCTAGAATGTTTTTATTTAATTCCTAGAATATCGTCCTGGCACATATCTAAAATGTCCCTCCTGCTAAATTCTCATGCTTATCGAGCCTGGCTGGAAGGAGCAGGTTAGTGGGGTTGTAACTCAAGGTTTCCCCTTTCTCTTTCTGCTTACTGATTCTCTCAATCTCTTTCTCTCTCTGTCTTCTCTTCTCTCTCTCTCTCTCTCTCTCTCTCTCTCCCTCTCTCTCTCTCTCTCTCTCCTCTGCCACACACTTCCTGGCTGCCATGAGTTGAGTACCTAACCCATTTCTGTGTTAGAAACAGCAGACCATGAACTGAAACCATGAGTCAAAATAAACCTCTTCTCCTTTGAGTTGCGGATGTCCAATATTTTGTATCAGTGACAGGAAAGCTAACTAAAACAAATTTTAGTGCTTAGAGTAGGGGTCACTGATATGAATACACCTGACCATATATATGGCTTAGAAGCTGTTAGAACTGGTTTGTGGAAGGTGTTTGGAAATTCTGGCTACTGAAGCCCTAAAATGCTGTAGACTAAAGTTGATGAGAAATTTTTGTCAGACCTCCGAAGACCAGAATTTGAGAGTAATACAGATGAGATAGTAAAGCCCAGACTCAGGAGATGTCATCTGTTAAAAAAAGGACTCCATTGACAGTTGGACTAGAAGCCATGTGAGTTACATCCTGGCCCCCCATCAAAATTGTCTGTTTTGCCCAGGTCTTGAGACTTTACAAGAGATTGAGATGAAGAATTATGGACTAATTAACTTGGCAGTTAAAATTTTAAACCAGCCCAACATTCATGCTTTGGTTTGGGTACTACTGGCTGCTTTTAGTTGTGTCTAGAGAGAAAATCAGGAACAAAAAGTACATATAAAATGTTTGCAGTTTCATGAGAAGGGAAGCATCTACAAAATGGGGGCAAAGGAGAATGTAGTTTCTGAAAAGATTAGCATTAAAAAGAAGCCTGTTACTTTGCATCAGGACAATATATCTTAAAAGCATATCAAGAATCAGCAAAACCCACCCTTCTCAGTCTCAAAGATGCAAAAGCATAATCCATTCATTTAAAAAGAAAGCTCCATTGGGCATGGTGGCCCACGCCTATAATCCCAACACTCAGGAGGCTGAGGCAGGAGGATCGCTGTGAGTTCAAGACTAGCTTGGGCTATACAGTGAGTTTCAACTACATAGGGCAGTCTCAACTATGTAGTGAGACCCTGTCTCAAAAAAATAAAGAAAAGAAAAGAAAAAGAAAGCTCCAAGGTATTCTGTAATCTTTTGTTTTCTTTTCTCTCTCTTTTAATTTTATTTATTTGGGTATTTATTTTTGGTACTGGGGATCAAACTCCAGACCTTGCACTTGCAAGGCAGGTGGCAGAACCACTGAGCTAAATCCCCTGCCCCAGCTCCAATCACTCAAGCCTACAGAGTGAAATACTTCCCAAATTCACTCATCTAGGCTCTCAGAGGCTCCTACAGTCATATTTCAAAGAGGTTTAGCTATTGCTTCAGCTGGCAGCAGATCTTGGCATCATCTATGTGGTACTGTTTTATAGGAATGTAGAATACAAGAGTTGTGAGGTCAGGGAAGTGTCCACTGTGATTTCAGAAGAAGGCTGGGAGGCTAAGAGGTGAGCCTCTGAGAGTGCAATGCATGAAGCTCTGAGAGTGCAACTGAAAGTAAGGTGGAGACTCCAGAAGGCTTGAGAGGCTAGGAGCACGGAATGTCTGCTAGACACCTTAGAAGCCACTGGCAGTGAGCAAACATCCTAAGAGCGAAGCCATGTGGACTACCACCAGCAAGACCACTGGAGCAGAGCTGCCCAAGCCCTTTAGAGTTCATATCTCAGCACTACTTGTTCTGAGTATTAGACATGCAGCTACAGTATTCAATATTCACCTTGCTGGGTTTAAGTCATACTTTGGCCTAGTTTCTATTTTCTCTCCCATTTGGAATGGGAATGTTTACTTCATGCCATTGTATGTTAGAGGTATAACTTTATTTTTTAACAGGAACACACAGCTAGTAGTTTTCTTTGCATCTCAAGGAGAATTTGGACTTAGACTTTTCAGCACTGTTAAGACTTTGAACTGTTTAGATTTTGGAAACTCTTAGAGATGGACTAAATGCTATTGTACAATGAAATGCACATGAGCCTTTCAGGGGCCAGGGGCAGAAAGTTATGGTACAGGTCTAAAATGTCCTCCAAAATTGTCATGCTTGGAGGTGTGGTGTTGTGAGAAGGGGTAAGTCACTGAGAGTATGACTTAGAAAAGTGTATTCTCATCCCTGGCCCCCCCCCATCTGTCTCTCAGCCTCCTGGCTTCCATGAGTTGAGTACCTTTTTCTCCGTCATGCTCTTCTGCCAGCCTGTTTCTATCTGGGAGCCAGCCAACCATAGACTGAAACCATAAGCCAAAATAGACCTCTCCCCCTTGAAGTTGTAGATGTCACATACTTTGTCTCAGCCATAGGAAAGCTAGCCAAGACAAATGAGACATTTGGCTATCCTTGTTTCCAAACTCTTGAAAATTATTCCTTCTGCTTTTTGCATAATGTATGGCAAGCAGTAAAAGAACCAAGTACATACATCCCTGAGAACAGAACCAATTACCATGGAAACTGAAATATTTTTTAGTTAAATCAATCAAGAATATTGTATGGAGTAGTTGATGTTCAAGTTGACATATTTAAATGAGTATATCCTTTTGAACAGCTGAATGTTGGCTCTCATGATCCTCTGTAGCCCTAGAACTGTGTTGTACCTTTGAGAATTTGAAATGTGGACAGTCTGAATTAAGATGGCTAGAAGTGTAAAATACAGACTTAATACAAAAAGATTATATTACTAATTTATATGGATTACATCTGGAAATTATAATATTTGGGGAATACTGAGTTAAGTAAGACATATTAAATTTTTTTTATTTTAGTGAAAATAAAGCAGGGACCAGATTTATCTATCCCCTCAGCTGAAACAACAACAAATGTACAGATTAGAAAATGATGGTTTACAAGACACTGTACACAAAACAATGAAGGACAGTGTCCCCTGAAAGATGGAACATGAATGTATGAGTTCTATGATTACTCAAGTTTATTGCATTGACAGTTTTAAGACAATGAGATGGAGAAGGGAATCCTGGGAGATTCCATTGTTATGGAGACATAGCTGAGATACTAAAGAGATCTGTCCTGTGGTTTACAGGACAGAGTAATGAAGAACACTGAGCTGTTCAGCAAACAAATAACAGATATATGAGCAGGATACCTATATTAGTTTCTTATCACTGCTATAGCAAATTACAACAAAATTTATGGCTTAACCAATATCAGTCAATTTTTAAGGTTCTTAGGGTCAGATATCTAAATTCAAATTGTTGACAGAGCTGTATTAATTTTCTGAAGAGTGAAGGAGGAAAATTCATTTCTTTGCCTATGTCAGATTCTAGAAGTCATTCCTTGACCCCTTCCTCACTCCAATCTCTTGTTGTTATCATTACATTTTCTATTTTTTATTATTCCTCTTCCTTCT